CCTCCCTCCCTCCCTCCCTCCCTTCCTTCCTTCCTTCGCAGGTACCATACAATCTCACTCAGCACTTTTACTCACCACTAGTGCTGTACAACTCAAGCCATGCCTCCAGGAGGCAGTTTCAGGAAATTTTCTGCCCAGTGGGCTTCAAACTTCAATCCTCAGATCTCAGCTTTCTGAGTAGGTAGGATTATAGGAATTAGCACCAAGGCTCAGCTTGGTTTTTTTCTATTGGCAAAATCTTAAGATCAATATTTTCACCACAGTATCCATGGTCATTTCTGTTGTAGAATGGAGACATGCATTTGAAATACACTATCAGCTATAACCAGTCAACATTTCAATACAAACAATGCAATGTATGGTCAAGGAATTCAATGCAGTTTTAACAACCAAAACTTTAACTGAATGTGAGCCAGTTTCCAGTGGTTCATGCCTGTAATCCTCGGTACTCAGGAGGCTGAGATCAGAGGATCATAGTTCAAAGCCAGCCCAGGCAGAAAGTCCAAGAGACTCTTATCTCCAATTAACTGCCATAAAGGCCAGAAATGAAGCTGTGGTTAAAGTGATAGAGCACTAGCCTTGAGCATAAAAGCTCAAGAAAGACACACAAACATAATGACACACACACACACTCATGACATACACACAAACTTAAATAAATGTGCCAGTATCTTACCAATAAGTAGTTTTAGAATTCTGTGAAATTTACTCTAGATTGTGAAACTGTAGCAAAATGTGATACATCACAAAAATGTATAAAATTCCTCATTTGTTTACATCTCGCTTTCATCTACTACTAATATGTCTTCATCACTTTTAACAGAATTTCTCTGGTCTTCTAATAAATGCACTATTGATTACTTTTACATGCCCTAGATTGAAAAACAAAACAGCTCAATAGCCACTCAATTATATAATTCTTCATAAAGTAACCATTTTGGTTAGCTTGCGCACAAAGGGAAAGTGCACTATAATAATAATTTTTTCAATAAAAATGTGAATTCATATACAAATGTGTACCGACCATGTAATTATACATTGATTCAAGTTTCTTCAAGAGGAAAATTAACTTTGGAACCTATATGTTTCTTTACTTAAATAGGATAAAGTTAAACTTGCTAAAATCTTACTATTCCTGAGGTCTCTGACCTCTATAGCTGACACCATGGTGTGTTTTGTTTCTTTTGTCTTTTTTGCCTGTCCTGGGGCTTCAACTCAGGGTGTGTGCACTGTCTCTGAGCTTTTTTGCTCAAGGCTAGTGCTCTATCACAGAGCCTCATGTCACTTCAGTTTTCTGGTGGTTAATTGCAGATAAGAATCTCACAAACTTTCCTCCTAGGCTGGCTTTGAACTGCAATTTTCAGATCTCAGCCTCCAGGGTAGCTAGAATTACAAGTGTGAGCCACCGGTGCATGGCTCGCCCTGGTTTTTATTTGTTGTTCTTTTTTTCCCCCTTTGTCAGTACTAGAGGTTGGAACTGAGGGCTTTGACCTTGCTAGTCCAAGCTATCCCTTGATCCTGCTTTTCATTTGTCATTTTTAGGATAAGGTTTCTCCTTCTGCTAAGGCACATAGCAGATCCATGATTCACCTACTTTTTTGTGTGTGTGGTTGGGGGGCTTGAAAG